CTCTCCTATTCAATCTAGTGCTAGTGTTCTTAGCCAGAACAATCAGGCAAGATAAATAAATCAAAGGCATCCAAACTGGAAAAGGAGAAAAGTAAAATTGTCCCTTTTGCAGATGATATAATCTTACATTTAGAGAAATCTAAAGACTCCACCAAAAAAAAATTTTTAGGGTGGAGGGGGACACATAACATCAATAAGGGTACCTGTCTCAAACTAGGCAAAGTGGGAACCAAAGGGAGGCCCAAACTTTATACCTGTATGTTGCTCACTTCATCCCTAATCCTGAATGGTACCCCACATCTTTAAAATAAAATATATATAATAAAAAAATATATAAGCATACCTTTAGGATCAATGTATGTTTTCTAGAAATCATTTTATTGTACAGTTTAAAATTTATTAGGTAAAATTTGAAAAAGAAAAATTTTTAACTGATAAATAAATTAGTAAATTGCAAGATACAAAAATCAGCCTACAACAGTCAGTAGTTTTTCTATATACCAATAATGAGCTAGCAATTCCACTTATAATAGCTACAAAAATAATATAATGCCCATGAGTAAACTTAACCAAGGAGGTAAACGACCTCTACAAGGAAAACTACAAAACACTGATTAAAGAAATTTAAAAGGATATGAAAAAAATGGAAAGACATCTCATGCTCATGGATTAGAAGAATTGGTATTGTAAAAATTACCATACTACGCAAAGCAATCAACAGATTCAATGTAATCTCTATCAAAATTTCAGTAACATTTTTCACAGAAGTTTTTTAAAATCCTAAAATTTGTATGTAACCAAAAAAGAGCCCAAAACAGTTAAAGCAAACCTGAACAACAACAACAAAAAGTTGGAGTTATCACACTACCTAACTTCAAAATATATTACAAGGTTTTAGCAACCGAAGCATCATGGTATTGGTATAAAAACAGACACGTAGGCCAAAGGAACCAAATGGAGAACACAGTTATAAATCCACATATTTACAGCCAACTGATTTTTGACAAAGTGCCAAGAGCATACATGGAGAAAAGGGCAGTCTTTTCAATAAATGGTGCTGAGAAAACTGGTTATCCATTTGCATAAGAATGAAACTAGACCCATATTTCTTGCTATCTATAAATATCAACTAAAAATTAGTTAAATATTTAAATGTAAGACCTAAAACTATAAAACTATACCAAGGCATTGGTGTAGGCAAAGACTGTATGGCTAAGACCTCAAAATCTCAGGCAACATGTGTCTGTTGGCTGCTCATATGTCTTCTTTTGAGAAGTGTCTATTCATATTTTTTGGCCACTTTTTAGTTAGCTGTTTATTTTTTTCTTTTTGGCACATTTGAGTTCCTTGTAGATACTAAATGTTAAACCTTTGTCAGATAAACAGTTGGCAAATATTTTTCTCATTCTGTGCACTGTCTCCCCACTCTCTTGGTTTGTTTTGCTTTGCAGAAGCTTTTCAATTTGATGAGGTCCCAATTATCTATCTTATCTCTTATGGCATGGGCATTTGGGATTTTGATCAGGAATTGGTTGCCAGTTCCAATTTCCATAAGGGTGTCTTCTGCATTTCCTAAGGTTCTTATAGTTTAAGGTCTTATGTTTAGGTCTTTGATTCATTTAGAGTTGATTTTTGTGTATGGTGATAGGTAGGGGTCTTCTTTTACTCTTCTGTATGTGATCAGTCAGTTTTCCCAGCACCATTTACTGAATAAGTTCTCCTCTCCCCAGTGGTTGTTGGTGGAGGCTTTGTCAAAGATGCATTGGTTGAGAAATTCAGTTTTTGCTTCCAGAATCTCTATGCTGTTCCACTGGTCCATATGCCTGTTCTTGTACCGATATCAGGGGTTTTTTTCAAAATTATTATTGTAGCCTTAAAGTTTAAAGTCTGGAAGTGTTATACCTCCTGCTTTGTTTCTCTTGCTGAGGATTGTTTTGCCTATTTGTGGTCCTTTATGTTTCCATATGAACTTATTGTTGTTTCTAGGTCTGAGAAGAATGATGCTGGTAATTTAATGGGTATTGCATTAAATCTGTAGATTGCATTTAGTCGAATGGACATCTTAACAATGGTGATTCTTCCAGTTCATAAGCAAGCAACAGTTTTCCATTTGTGTTATCTTTGATTTCTTTGTGTCGTGTTTTGTAGTTTTCATTGTAAAATTCTTTCACTTCTCTGGTCAGGAAGATACTGAGGTACTTCATTTTTGTTGGTGTTGTTTCTATTGTGAATGAGATTGTGCTTTTTATTTGTTTCTCTGCCTGTTTGTTGTTGGTGTATAAGAATGCCACTGTCTTTTACCCATTGATTTTTGTACCCTGAAACTTCACCAAAGTCTTTATCAGTGCAGGAAGTTTTTTGACAGGTTCTCTTGGATTTTCAAGGTATAGAATCTTATCGTCAGCAAAGAGGGATAACTTCACTTCCTCTTTTCTTATTTGGATGCCCCTGATCTCTTTCTCTTGTCTGATTGCTCTGGCTAGGACTTCCAACACAATGTTGAACAGGAGGGGTGAAAGTGGGCAGCCTTGTCTTGTTCCAGTTTTCACGGGAAATGCTTCCAATTTTTGTCCATTTACTAATCATTAAAGAAATGCAAATTAAAACCACACTGAGATACCACCTAACTCCAGTCAGGATGACCAACAACAATAACTCAAAAAGCAACAGACACTGGAGAGGATGCAGGGAAAAGGGAACACTTCTACACTGTTGGTGGGAGTGTAAACTAGTACAACCTCTGTGGAAAACAGTGTGGTGAGTCCCAAAAGATCTAAAAATGGACCTTCCATACGACCCAGCTGTCCCCTTTCTGGGAATACAACCAAAGGAACTCAGATCACGTTTTGAAAGAGATACCTGCACACACATGTTTATTGCAGCATTATTCACAAGAGCAAAAACATGGAACTAATCGTGCTGCCCAACAAAAGTGGACTGGATTTTAAAATGTGGTACTTATACACAATAGAATATTACGCAACCATATAAAAGGACAAAATTATGGACTTCGCAGCAACTTGAATAGACTTAGAGTCTATAATACTCAGTGATCTATCACAGAAACAAATAACCAAGTAAGATGTGTTCTCGCGTATAAGCAGACTCCGAACAATTATCATGATATTACAGGAAAGGGATTGGAAGTAGTGGGAAACTGCCAGGGGAAGGAGGTGAGGGCACCCTTCATCAGTAAGGGTACTTGATCTCAAACCAAGTGAACTGGGAACCAAAGTGAGGTCCAAACTTTACAAGTACAATGACCATTTATATTCTTAACCATGAATTATATCCCATGTCTTTAAAATAAAAATAAAAATCTCAGACAACAAAAATAGATTATATCAAAATATAAAGCTTCCACACAGTAAAGGAAACAACAGAATGAAGAGACAACCTACAGAATAAGAGATTCTATTTACAAGTTTTCATCTGGCAAGGAACTAATATTCAAAATAAATTAGGAACTCAACTCCATAGCAAAACAGACAAACAATCCTGTTAAATCATAGACAAATCATCTGAATAGGCATTTTTCAAAAGAAGACATACAATGGCTCCTGATAGCTATCATTCTACTCTCTACCTCCATGAAATCAACCTTTTTAGCTGCCATATATGAAGCATGTGATATCTGTCTTTCTGCGTCAGGCTTATTTTGCTTCACATAATGACTTCAAGTTTTTGAAGGGATGAATATCCCAAACACTGTGACTTAATCATTATACATTCTATGCATGTAACAAAATATTATATGTACTCCATAATGTGTTCAAATATGCTCCAATAAAAGTATTTAAAATAAAAAAGTGAAAGCATTATATTCCAGTGTCAAAGATAGCCACCAAATGATCCTGTTGGTAGATTAGAAAACTCACAGTAAGACTGTGCCTTAGTTTGACTAACAATGAGGAAGAAAACATTAATTCAACCAGAACCTTTCTCTTCTAATCAGAGAAGAGAAAGTAATCTGAATAATACAGAGTGTTAGCTAGGAGATAGATGTAGATATCTTAGTAGCCTGTGCTATTAGAAGCTCGTATTTAAACCTATTTTGAGAGAAAATCACGAGAACAATATTTGTATCCAGAAATTAAATTTTTATGAATAAAGATGAATCATAGAGCCATGCAAATTTCCAACTGAAAATTAAAAGTAATTAGGAATTAATCTAGTCCAAATGTATTTTCAGATAGGAATGCTGAGGTCCTAGTAGGTTAAATCATTTGCTCCAGGATTATAATAACAGTAGCAAAGCCAAGACTAAAATTCTGGTCTTTGGATGCCCAATAGAAAACATTTTTCCTACGTTATTGAGCAAGAGATGGGAAGAAAGCCATAGGAGAGAGTTGATGGTAGTAGAGTCTGCATCTGAGCACCCTCTCTGTGCTCAGGGATGTGGGGCTGAATAGAGAGCCTCCTGTCAACATGGTGCTGAGAGTTGATTGATGCAAATTGACAGCTACTCACGACAGGAGGGGTCATTTTGTGCTCTCTGAACACAGTGAGAAGAGGGTTCATTAAGAATATAAGATCTAGAATTCCTTCTCATATCAGACTTTACTGGAATTTTGTGGGAGGAAGGAGGTCTTTTCTGAGCTCAAATGAGCAGAAAACCCTATTAAATATAGCAGTCTACATTAGACACAAATCATTAATTTCTCTTTTTCAAATTACAACAGCAGCAAAGGGTGCTTTTCCTCAAAAGTGGTAAATTGTAAGCATATTCAACCAATATGGTATCTGGAACTCCATGCAAATGAATCTCGACACCTAATGTTGATTAAGCTATGAAGCAGTTTGGGAACATTACTTGGGTAAATTATATCTTGACTGTGTAGTTTGCTTAGCACTAGGCACTTCTGGTATTTGTTCCAAGTCAGATCAAGACTCATCATGGCATGAGTCCCTGGTCCTTTTGGTGGACAGACTCTTTTGCTAGCCCTGCACCACCTGCCGATCGCAGCATTCCTAGCAGCATGGGTTCTGCTTTCTTGCAGAAGTCTTGAGCTGGAATGAAGTAGAACGAGCCTTCAAGATGTTTACTTTTGAGAGCCTAAAGCTCTCTGAGGTCGATGAAAAAGGGACACTAAAGCCTTCTGGGATGATGTGTGGGGCGGACTTTGAAGCGTGCAGCATACCGTGGGACAACCCTGCCAGATTTGCTAAGCACATAAGGCAGCAGCACATCAGGAAAATGAACGGCCACGAAGCCCATCAGCAAGCAGGTACGCTGCATGGAGGGAACAAAAGCCGTTCTTGCATTTTACGTTTGTCCATTTTCTAATATTATATCTCATGGATGCTTTTTACAATGGCTAGATATTGAAGCCAAAGACAGAGTAATATTTGTGAATCAGAATTGGTCACAGACTGTGCAAGATGAGAGCAATAGAAAGCCTTCAAATCCCAGTCATCCTGATGCTAACAATATGAAACAATCTGATTCAAATAATTCGAAAGGCTCCAACTCTGGTAATGGAGAGCTGTCCAAGCAAGACACCAGCATGAAAACTGAGCCCCAACCTAAGTCTTTGAGTAAGTAAAAGTGTGTGTGTGTGTGTGTGTGTGTGTGTGTGTGTGTGTGAGAGAGAGAGAGAAAATAGTATGCTTACTGTTATAGTATACATAAACAAACAAAAACAAGTTCAAGGTGCATTATTTCAGTTTAAATTTAAATGCCTGCCTACTTAAACTGAAAAAAATCACTTAATATTTAAGTTATTTAGTTAACTAAACTTTATTGCTGAGTATTATTATTATTTAGTAAGTTCTTATTTTAACCTTTGCTTTTCAAAATATCCTAATGCCTCTTAGTCTGCTCTTACCTTAGTAAATTTAATGTAGTGAACGTACTTAAAACTTTTATCATAAGTATTTCACAGAGTTATTGTGATTGCATGTTAAAATTATAAAAATCTATCTGAAATAATGTAATGAAATATCAAGTAGCTTGGTACAAAATCAATGCTCAATAAACATCAATTCCCCTTGTCTCCTCCTTATAAGTCATTACTCTCATTTTAGAGTACAGCATTATAAATAGCATTATTTTAGAGGGTACAAAATGTACTGAACTACTTTATGCAAAGGAATCAGATTAATCTACTTCAAATACAGCTCTTTTATTTATCTGCTTATAACCCTCAATGACTCCCTACTACCTGTAAAATAAAACCCAACTTCTTGGCCTGCTTTACGTGCTTCTCCAGTAGTAATAAATCACTTTTTCCAAACTCTTTCTACCTTTTCCCTTTTGCTCACTCATCCTATATTCTAGCCACAAAGAATTAGGTCTAATTTCTTCTACACAGACTGTTTTTTTCAATTTCTAGGCCATTTTTTGACAATATACTCCACCTAGAGTTCTGTTTTTTATATGATTAGAGTTCAGCGACACCCTCATGAAGCCTTGCTAGGTGTGTCCATACGGAAATGCTTCCCTTAGCGTTTCATGCTTATAATTAATCTACACTTTTATATGGCATTAGTTATCATTTTCTACCCGTTTGATATTTATATGCCTACATTAAGGCCCCCATTCTACCATATCTTTTTAGAAGTTATATGTTTATTTTTAAAATATTAATAATATATTGGGTTATAAAATAAACCTTGAAAAATTGTCACAGTATCAAAACTACACAGAGTATGTCCTTATACTACAGTGAAATTATGGTGGACATCAATTACCAAAAGATAATTAGAAAATCACAGAATGTTTCGAAACTAAGAAATACACTTCTCTATAGCACCTAGAACAAAGAGAATGTCACAATGGAAATTAGGAAATATTTCGAATTAAATTTTGATAAAAATACTTAGCATCAAAACTATAGAATGTAGCTAAAACAAAAGTTACTCCAAAAGAAGTTTATAGCTTTAAATAAATATATTTTTAAGTAAGCTAAAAATTAACTAAACATCAATCTCAAGTTATATAAAGATGAACAAAATAAATCAAAATAAAGTAGAAAACAACAAAAGTCAGAGTAAATCAATGAACTAGAAAACATAGATGCAATATAGAAGAAAAATGCAAAAATTTGATTCTTTGAAAAGACTAATAAAATTGATAAATCTTTTATACAAGACTAATCACAAAAAAGAAGGCATGAATAGCTATATCACAAATAAAATCATATTGGGAATAAAAACCAAATCAGGAATAAGGGAACAGTGACTTTCCTTATATCCTACAGAAATTAAAAAGATAACCTGATGATATAAACAACTTTATTTCATTAATCTGAAAATAAAGTGGGCAATTACTGGAAAAGTAGAACTTACCAACAATTACTCAAAAGGAAATAGAAAGCCTGAGTAGTCTTATAACCAATTATATTAATTAAACCAATAATCGAGAATCTTTCCAACTAGGACATACCTAGTCCAAATGATCTCATTGGCAAGAGATATCAAACTCTCAGAAAAGAAGTAGTTCTAATCTTAACAAAAGTTATTCTAGAAAACAGAAAACTAAGGTATCCTCCTCTAGTCATTTTATAAAGCTAGTATAAACTTGATAATAAAACTGACAAGGATAATGCAACAAAAGAAAATTACAAATTAAATTCATTCATGAATACAGATGGGAAAATCTTAAATAAAACATGAAAACTGGTCTAGTGTATACTAAATGATAGTAATACATCCCTAAAGTTTGCATTTATGACAGGAATAGAAGAAAAATATGTACATTGTAAAATTAATTCATCAATCAACATATTAGTAAAAAGTCACATAATCATATAATAGATGCAGAAAAATCATTTAAAATTCTATAGCAATTTATGGGGGGAAAAAGCTTAGCAAACTAGCAACAGAAGAAAACTCCTCAATCTTATAAATGTCATTTCAAAAATTACTACTACAAACCTTATATATCAAGGTGAAAAGTTGAGATATTTCTCTTTGAGATCAAGATGTCCACCATAAACACTTGTATTCAGTATGGTATTGGAAGTATAAGCCAACAAACAAGAAAAAGAGATAAAAGTGTAAGGTTTGAAAAGAAAGAAACAAACCAAATTACTTATAAACATTGCATATGTAGAAAACCCAAAACAATCCACAAAAAGATTAGAATTAATATGAAAGTTTTATAAAGAGCTGTGATTGTTGAATTACACACATAAGATGTCTGAGATGCTGAGACGTTCATCTTGATAATTATTCCTTCTGTTAAACATTTATGTGTCATGTACTTTTCTGTATGTGTTATGTTTTTAAATCATCTTTAAAAAAACAAACGGTAGGTGCTACAAGAGAATAGTGTTGTCAGTATTGACTGATGGTCATCTTACCCTTTGCATTCATCTAGAAAAGGTTAGAAGAGGAAATAATCAATGGTGTGGAATTAAGGGAAAGATGCTCCCCTGCTGGGAGAGGAGACAAGTGAGGGGCTGGAAGAGGCGAGAGATGACACTTATTTAATACTACCCTGCTATATTCCAAGCACCAGGGCTAAGATAACTTACGTATATTCCAAGCACCAGGCTAAGATAACTTACATATATTGAGCAATATGTATATAAATATCAAGCCAATGAAAAACATAGTATCATCCCAGTTCTACCGATAGAGGAACCAAGACCTAGAAATATTAACTAACTTGTTCAACCACACACAGGTAAGAAGTCAGTATTTGAATGAAAGGTTAACTTCAAACCAATGCTTTCTCCACTGTGTCTGTGGCTTCCTCAATTTCAGAAATTCTTTGTGATGCATCAAATGGTTCAGCCATATTCCATGTTTATAGTTTGTTCTTCATGCTGATTCTTAGGCTGATTTTGTTGCCTTTGAGTCTTCCTTCCTTCCCAATAGGGTTGATTCTTTATTTCTCTCTCCTAAGTAACCCTTACCTATCAGCCTAGCTCTCAAACAAATTAAGCCGAATAAATTAACCTGAGTTGTTATGGCATTAGTGCACCCTATGGGACAACAAATGTATGACAAAGAAGTCCCTTTGGGTTAATATGGAGTCAGAATAGGCCCAGAGAGATGTAAGGCCTGAGGTTTGTTCTTTGTTTTATGTTTTCTTTAAAGTTGGTATAGAGTTTTGCTCAGGCAACTTTTGCCATCTGGTGGACAAACTATATAAATTGGCTTTCTGGATCCTGGTAGAAAGTAGATGATTATAGCAACTTCCTAAATCCTCAAGGCTGAAAATGCTGTAGTGGATAGTGTATCCTACAGGCCATGCAATCTCAAGTGCAGATCCCAGAACTATAAATTCTTCTATGTGGTGTATGTCGACCTTCTCCCAGGAGCCATTACATTTGAATGGGGGAAGGCCACTGGACCGTGCTGTCTCTCTGTGACTGTTGTGTGTCTGGGACTTTGCTGTTGTTGATCTTCTATTTTTTCCCTAACTGCCTCATACTTCAAAATCAGCCAACTTTAACTCTCTTTAAACAGAGCAGAAATCATCTCTATATTTCTTGCACAACAATTTTAGCATCAAATACATATAAAAGCCTGTCCCAGGACATGAAGGACTGAATATTTGTGCTTTTCTTAACCAAACACTAGATTTCCATCTGAGACTGTTTTTGAACTTGACAGGGCCTAGTGGATATTTATGAAAAACCTGAGAGTTGATAACTGTGAGGCTATAGGTTTAGCTGTGCCCTTTATGCTTGTTGGGTGTTTTTTTAATAAAGTAACTGCTTTGCAGAGGGATCTTGTTATCTCTAAAGTAAAACAGATTAGGAAAACTGTTTTTCAAAGAGATGAGAAAGCATCCATTTCCAGATGTGTCAAAAACTACTGAATCACACTGTCAAAGGATTATGTGGCTGAAGGCAGAAATCAGAAAGAAAGAAAACACAATTTTTCTCTGCTATTAAATAAAGAGTTGAGATTAGTTTAGAATGCTCTTTCCTTTGACAAAATAACTGATGCATAATTTTTTAGAACATATTTCCTAAACTGGAGACATTTTCTGCTGGATCCTTAAACACAAGAGGGAATATCAAATCTCCCAGAAATCTGGCAGACCACAGAACAGAATCATTTTTATTCCACAGATTTCATATCAATTGCTTCAAGGACACATGGGACATCATGGTCTATTTAGAGTTATAGTTGGCCTGAGTTTTCTCTTGAGTGGATGTATTTATATAAATACTGAACCAAATTGGCTTTATAGTTTTTCTCTAAATCAAAATGGAACATTCATGCTGTCATTTTCACCAGCCCAAGGCAAAATGGAGCCCATAGCAAAAATGTACATAGCTCCTGAAAGAAAGAAAAACATTGGCCTGTCCTTCCTAGGTATAATTAGCTTCTCCCTCTAGAAGTCTAAATAAGGTTCTCTTTGCCACAGAATAAAAAGTCAAAGCTTATGCTTGTCTCAAAATAAACCCTTGTTGTAGGTTTTTTTCCACATTTCTACTTTCTATATGGCTCTTCCTTCATTTCCAGTTTCAATACATGATATAGATTTCTCTCACATAGTCAAAAAATAAGTATTTACTAAGTTCCTACTAGGTACCAGGGACTCAGGGTTCAGTAAGGAAAATACAATAAAGTTCTTATTCTCCAGGAATTCACATCCAAAGTGGAGAGACAAACCATAAACAAAAAAAATAGTACTCGGTACAGATAAATACTATGATTAAAAGAACAAAGCAGGGTTAGAAGCAGAAGGCTCTTGAGAAGGTGACATTTGAGCAACAATATGAATGAAGTAGAGGTTTGAAACAGGTGAACATCTAAAAGCAAAGCATGCCAGACAGAGGAGAAGCAAGTGCCAGTCTCTCAAGACCCAGTGAGCAGGCTAGTCTGTGTGGAGTGGAATAAGCAAGGGGGAGCGAGGGAGCTGCGTTTGGAGAGTTGGGCATGGGCCATTTTATGTACGACTTTCTAGGATATAATCTTCAATTATCCTAAGGGTGACAAGAAGTCAGGGTGGCTCAATTGTTCAGCAGTGTCAAAGAATATCCCCACAAGATACACACACACACACATACACACACACACACACACACACACACACTTTATTTCTGTGTCAAATTTGGAAAAAAGCTGTATACTGTATCCATTTCTCTATCAGAGATTCATATCACAAAAACAAATTACAAGTTCTGAGACAGCCCCAGTGAAGATGTCTGTTTATTTATGTTGAACTTATTTATCATGGAATTATTTTTCTCTGGTGATATAGAAACCAACAATATGAATCTGTTTTCTCCTCATTCACTCACACAGCTGTCTGATTCATATCCAAGGATGATGTTGCATGTCCATATAGGTGCACTTTTGGTTCACAAGAAAAGCTAGTGTGCATGGCCCGTACTGGTATGGTGCCAAGGATTCCAGCTACCCACTCACTTATTATTTAACTAACTTTTGTGAAAGTTCATTTGTAAATCTGCAAATGCTCGGTAAATAGTTTTTACATTAATAAATGATCAATTAATGGAAGAAGAACTCTGCAGAATGTAAAATTATATCATTTTTAATAGGATGAGCATTTATCTGACAATTCTTATTTGTACACATGCCCTGCCCCTCCTCACTCCAGTCTGTCGTCTACCCAGATAAGACCCATGGACATTTGAAAAGGCTCTGTGAGGGCTGTCAGCACAACAGGAAAAATGATGTGTACTAAGCAGTCGAGTTAGTGTAATCAGTAAATATTTGCAACTTGTAAAGGTAAGGGCATATTGTTAGAAGGGAGTGGTATGGTTTGCAGCAGAGTATCTGATATGATTTCGAACATGGCATACAAGGAGCTGGGTTCTTTTCCAAGAGTTTAGTATGACGCTTCTAGGTAGGCACTGATTTAGAGTTATTGACATAAACACCTTTTCGGAGACACGAAACATGCCTTTCAGGAATTACCTTTTCAGCACAGAACCATAGATCATATGGGCAACAAACAGGCACAGCACTAACCCAGGCAAGAACAAAGCCAGAACACAACTGGATGTTGGTGTCTTTGATTTACAGAGCAGACCACGAACGATGAGATCAAAGATGGTGCAGTCACAAAGGCTGATTCTCTCGAAAAGGTAAGGAGTTTTTTTCCTAAAAGTGTAGATGACAAGTCAGATGATCTGAGAAAACCGTGACCCAGAGTGAGAAATACTCAAAAAGGGGAAGGGGGGGAAAGGTGCTTGGCAGAATACTGATGCTAGAGAAGAAAAATCACTGACACCCCTAGACCAGCTCCAACTGGTGAGAAAGGAGTTAATTTCACCAGCCCGCTTGAGCAAAACTTCCCAGCCCGGTGCTCCTCTCCAGACAGTGTGGCTTGGCAGCCTCACAAACACCTGCTCGCCATACAGACATGTAGAACGAACATTGTCTTGAAGTGAGTTCAGAAAACCTGCCTGTAATTGCTAACAGGACTCAGAAGAGTATAACCTAAGAATAAAAATATTTAGATTATGTTGCCCATAAAAAAAAGTCAAAGGCATACTCTTTTTGGCAGCGTCTCTCCTAAAATGTTGCCATATGGATTTATACATATGCAGATTTCCCCAATTAGATGAAGGACACGCTTGCTAGTGGATGGAATACAAAAGGGCTCCATTCGGGCTCAAGCAAATTAAAGTCAAAATTGTGTTCCGACAATTCTTTTAGAAACCCAAGAAGATGACGGTGGAAGCAGATTTAGAGGACATAAAGAAAACACAGCAGCGCAGTCTAATGGACTGGAGTTTTACGGAACATTTTAAACCGAAAGTCCTGCTTCAGGTATTTATGGACTGTGATTCTCCAGGAGACAGTCAGATAGGTCTGGGGAGTCATGCTGTGATTTAGAACAGTTCACTTCCAGGTCACTCTCTCAGATCTAGTTCAGATCAATATTCTCATTTACTTCAGCTATGAAATGAGTTTATTACCAGACTGGGGTGTGCAGTCCCAGGGAATCTCCAAAACAGTTTAAACTATACTTTCCAAAAGGACGTTTTTATAAAGCGTTTTAAGAAAAAAAAAACACACAAGACTGCTGCACATATCTTCTAAAAAGAAAAAGGAATAACCCCGTTTCCCCCCATATTCTTTGTCCATTCTATTGTTTTACTACATTTCACAGTATTTTCTGTTTTAATTAGCAGTTCAATAGAAGCTGTGATAGCTTACATTTATTGAGCACTTAGCATGTGCCAGGGAATTATTAATACTTATTATTAGCTCATTGAATCCTCACAACAATCCTGTGAAGTAGCAACTATTTAAGTAGTAGGAAACTGAGGCATTATGTCCAGTTCTGACTTTTGCCCAAGACCACATGGCTGCTTAGTGATAAGCAGTATATAAACCCAGGAAATCTGGCCCGGAACTTAGGATTTCAGCCACTGTGAAAATGACAAATGATCCTAAATCTAATTCCTTTTGTTGTTTTTAGATTTTATACAAAAACCTGTATTTTTTTGTATTGTCTTTTTAATCTGAATTTTATTTTTATATCCACATACTGTTTTACATCCACATACTTTTAAGGCCAAAAAGTTCTACAAAGAGTCTTATAAAAAAAAAAAAAAAAGCAGCCTGCTACCCTCTGTCCCACTGTACTTCAATTCCCAGAGGCAAAAATCTTCAATGCATGTAGCTTTTCTTTTGTTACTCTACTCGGTTATCTCCAAATAGCAAGTATATTTTGCTTAGTTTTTGTTTGGAGGCATCATTATCAATTAGCTCCCTCTCGAGAACACAGCTCTGCCCACCTCCATTCAACTCACACAAGTACGGACACGTGCATGCTCACACGCCTCTGCGTTCTCCGTCGCTCTACTCCATTCTCTGACACTGTTAACTAGATTGTTTGGGGTTTCGATCAGTATTCAAAGTCTGCTTTATTTTAGTTGTATAAATGCTATTCAGAGATGAACCATGTAGTATTCAGCTTCCATTCAACTCTTATATTGAACTTTCTCTATCTGTTATCATAATTTTAATGTCTAAAACTCTATTTATAATACCAAATTTGTTTTTACAGGATCCTTTTCATATTTCTGATGGGTATTAAAGTCCTTTGAAATTGTCTTCTCCTTGAACTTTTCTCTGAGTTTCTTTTTTTTTTCTTTTTCTTTCTCTTTTCTGTTGGAAAAGGGGGCTTTATTTTTGGTCTCTATTTTTCCGTAAGGGGCCATGTGTAATATTTGCCTCTTCGTTCATATCAATAATGAAATACCAAAAGTATGAGCGTAAGAGCTGTATGGAGTGGGATGAGGACTTGCCAATAACTGGGTTTGTTGTCGGGTGCTTTGGCTGGGTGGTTTCCCTGAGTGATCCAACAGGGTTGTTCTGTTAGGTTTGTTCTCTTGGCCACTTAAATTCTCCAGGGTGAAGGGAGGGGAGGGGAATCTAATCTTCTGACTGAAAGACATAAACCTTCCTGTCAGGGTTTCAGGAGCTGAGTGGTGGGGGAAGGAAATTAGGCTTCTTACATTCAATGTCTGTACCTACCTTACCCGAAGTGGTAGCCACTGGTCACACACAGCTTCTGAGAACTTGAAATGAAACTAGTCCAAGTGGAGGCATGCAGTAAGTGTGCTATACACTACATACATATAGCTATATACACACTGAATTGCAAAGATTTTTTAAGTGATATCTCTCATTAATAATTTGTATGTTGATTACATGTTGAAGTGACAAAAAATTTGTATATTGGGCTAGATAAAATGTCATTAGCATTAATTTTGCCCGTTTCTTTTTGACTTTTAAAATGTGGCGACTCTAAAATTGAGAATTGCACAGGTGGCTCCCATTTGGGCTCACTTTAAATTTTTATTGGACAATGCTGACTTAGGCTTTTAACCAATTCCCTTTTTTTCTGGACTGTAATTTTCACCAGTAGTGCCGAGGGTTCCCTGTTCTTAACACCATCTTCCCTTCTGCTGGAGTGGTAGACAGGAGTAGCCTGGCGACTCAGATCTGGGGTGCCTAACTGCTTCTTAAAAGACTTTAAACTGATCTTCCTATCTTCACTGCCACTTCCAACCTACTTTCAGGGTTGCCTCGCATTGCCATTTCCTGAGACTTTCCACAATTCTGCATGAAAATAAGGCTGCCTCTGGTCTCTTCTAAAATTAATCTTAGGATCTGGCTTCCTATTTTCCAAGGCAAATCTCTCTTCCGTCTCTTCTCCATCACAACGGCCACTCCTTTCACCTGACTACTCTCATTCCACTGCAATATCCTCCTACTAATCATCACCTTTCACTCTTGCTCCAGTTCATTCCTTTCTCTACATGTCAGATCCGTTTCAGCTTCCTAGTGACAGCTCTCTGAGCTCAGGATGATCTATAAAGCTGCACACCTTAGTCCCAGCTACTCAAGGTCTTGCTATGTTATTCAGCTGAAGAGAAATTTGAAGTTGTACCCCTTAAACACTGGTGATGACTTGGATATGGGGAGCCAAGGAAAGGCTTGAATAATGGATGATTCGGGCTTTTTGCTTGAGCAATTGAATGGTGGTGACATTTTCTGGGATGGACAAGTAGAGAAATATGCTTAAGTGGGAAAATTATAAGCTTCACGTGGGACACTAAATTTGAGATGCCTATCGGAAATCCAGGTAGAATTTTGAGTTAGGTATACTAGAGAGGGGCGATTTGGAAGATAAAAATGTAGGCGTCATCAGCATTAGGTGAGATGGATGAGTATCGCTCGAGTCCAAACTTTCAAGGTCAGCAAGACCCCGTCTCTAATTTTTAAAAAATTATAATAATTTTGGAGAAACAGCGCACCCGTCTTGTTCATTTTTGTTTTCCTAGCATCTGCACAGGCCTGGCATATAATAGGTACTCATATTACATGAAAAACTTAACTGAATAATTAATGAAACCAACAATATTAATACAGAATAAAGGACAAATGTCAATTAGCAAAAATAATATAGGTTATGAAAACTTTCCAAACATTGATTGAAAGTGGCTATTGCTCTGAGAAACTTAGTACCGTATTTCCCAGTATCCAAAGCAAATATGAAAACACAAAAATTGCAGAGCTATATGTTCATAATAAATAAGTGCATTTGTTTTCTGGATTTATAGTCTGAAAGGAGTTTACCTTTCAAAGAAAGTCAATACATAGCAGTTTTTTAAATGCAGAGATATTCACTGCATGTATGTTTTTTGTATTAGTGCTCAGTCAACAGATGTAAAAGTTTGGTGTCATTCCCTAAAGACACTCATACAGGGGACAAGATTGGGGGAGTAAATGTCTTGTTTTGTTTATGCCACCAGTGCAGAATTGAAAGCTAAAGTAAAGCAGCCCTTTCCTAATGTAACGTTCAAATCCATGCCTTCAGATCATCCAAACGGTAGAGAACCAAAAACTGCCTACAGCAGATTGATATTGAAAACAAAAACACCAGCCGGGCTCAGTGGCTCAGCCTGTCATCCCGCGCCTTGGGAGGCTGAGGTGAGTGGATTGCCTGAGCCCGCGGGTTTGAGACCTGCCTGGGTAACTTGGTGAGACCTCATCTCTACAATCAATCAAAAAATTAGTGTGCACCTGTAGTTCCAGCTACATGGAAGGCTGAGGCGGAAGGACTGCCGGAGCCCAGCAGGTCGAGGCTGCGGTGGCCAGGAGCGGCCACTGCACTCCAGTCTGGGAGACAGAGTGAGACTCCAACTCAAAAAAAGAAAAACAAAAGCAAAAGCCCACAGCTGTCTAATTTGTTTTCCTGTGGCCAATTTTCGTATTGCTGATTGGCAGTGAAAGGGAATCAGGGTAAGCAGGTGTCCATTGAGTCCCTCTATTGGTGACTGTGATTGTAGCGCGTGCAGAGGGTAGTATGTTTTAGGAAGGGCCAGAGGTGGAGGAAGCAAGTGGAGGTGAGTGTCAGAAAAACCACGAACCTCATTTTACTCTTACAAGGTGTGGTATAGTGGAGAGCAGTTTGTGGAGTGTGAAATGGTAACATTTAGAGAAGAAAGACTAGGATGAGCCCTGGCACCAGAACGTACAAACTCCGTGTTCTTGGACAAGTCCCTTATCCTCTCTTCACCTCAATTTATGCTGGGAAAAAAATGAGAATTATAATGTATTGAAGTGGGAAAAATAATCACAGCCATTGGTTTCGTCGGCTCCAGCTGCCGTAACAAAACACCACAGACGGAGTCGCTTTAAACAGAAACGTATTTCCTCACAGGTCTGAAGGGTGGAAGTCTGAGGTCTGCATGCCAGCATGACTGGGTTCTGGTGAGGGCTCTCTTCTCCGCTTGTGCATTGTGTCCTCATGCTGCAGACAGAGGAAGAGGAGGCGGGAAGGAGCAGGAGGGGAGTCAGAGCTAGCTCTCTGGTTCCTCCTTATAGAAGGGAACTAAGCCTATTGTGGGAGCTCTACCCTCATGGTCTCATCTAAACTTAGTCACCTCCCCAAAGCCCCATCTCCAAATACCATCACACTGGGGGTTAAGGCTTCAACATCTGAATCTGGGGTTCAGGAACACAACTTAGTCCATGCATATATTTACCTGGGCTTTTTCTTTTTGGGTGGGTGGGTGTTTCCGAGGTGGAGTGCAGTGGTACAACCACAGCTCACCACAGCCTTGACCGCCCTCCACCTCAGTCTCTCAACTGCTGGGACTACAGGCTTACTACACCATGCCCAACTAATTTTTTGCTGTGTGTGTGTGTGTGTGTGTGTGTGTGTGTGTGTGTGTGTGTGTGTGTGTGTTTATAAAAATGAGGCCTTGCTATGTTGCTCAGACTGGTCTCAAACCCCTGGGCTCAAGCAATCCACCCACCTCAGCCTCTCAAAGTGCTGGGATTACAGGCATGAGCCACCATGCCTGGCCTAACTGGGGTTTTTAATGATGATAAAATGAAATTATCTATATGAAGACATGGACAATGCTAGATAAATAACTCCTGGATTTAATTGTTATCTACTAACCTTAATGAAGAACACCTATAGCAATGCTTCTATGCCTGACGCCTAGCATTTGTTTTTCTGTAAGAGTTGCTGAAATGCCCCCAAATTATCTCCCATTTATATTCTCACCTTCTAGCAGTTATGAAAGAATCCTCTTGGAACTTCAACTTGACTAACAACATGACGATAAAGGGAGGAAGCAAAAGGGGGCAGAGAAATACGCTAGCAAGAGACCCTTCTCTTGTGGGAAAAAAGTAAATAAAAGATACTACAAACAATTGTTTATATTTTCAGGTTCTTCAAGAAGCCCACCAGCAATATAGATGTGTTGATTCTTATTATCATACCCAAGACAACTCTTTACTTTTAGTCTTTCATAATCCAATGAATATACAACGTCAGCATTGTGAACACTGGAACGTTGCTCTTCACTCCAATGTTGGATTCAGGTAACCAGTTTAGATAGTTTGGTTCATTAGACAGTTAGTTGAGTTTAGTTAACTTGTTAGTCACCTAGGTTTCCCTTAGGGTGGTTCAACTCAATGAAAACATTTGTGTAGTACTAAGATTTGGTTGAATCACTGAATTGAATGTCTGTACATACCAAGCACTGTGAAGCTATACCATTAAAGAAGACAGACATCATTCTTGCCCTCATGGAGTCTATTGAGGATGTGATTAAATAACATTTGACTCATTTGGACACCAATAAAACTGCCCCTGAAAGATTTCAAGTACGAACTACAAAACATGATATTCTGCATACTGGTTTGGGGTAACTCCACTTGTTCTGGGGAAGATTCAAAATAGTATTGACATACCAACAGAACAGTCAGGTTTCCAACAAACTGAGAACTTTAAGAATCAGTGATTATTTTTTTCTTCCCAGATCCTTAGTTATTTATTTGCTCCTTTCGGACTCTCCTCACTGACAACAGGGCATTTCATTATTATTTCAATACTCCTTAAGGCATATTCAGTATTTATTATTTGTATAGGATTGTTTTAGTCCTAAGAAATACAGAAAGATATATAGAATAGACCTACAGATAATTGAGATAAAAGATTGTGTGTGGGCACATACACATTTTAAAGTCATAAAATGATTTTTTAAATTAAAGAATATAGTAAGCATGCCAATATAATATCATATAATATTAATCTGTGTTTCTCTTTATTTTGTTTTTCACTGCCAATAATTATACTTTCAATTTTTTTTTCTGGTCTTATTTGCTGACTAGGACCTCCAACATAATTTTGAGAGGACATCCTTGTCCTGATCCAGATTTCAAAGGAAATGTTTTGAGTATCCAATAATTAAGTATAGTTTTTTTTTTTGCTCTAGGATTTATGTGAATATTGCTTATTAAGTTGAAAAGCTGTTGCTAGTTTGCCATGAGTTCTTAATCATACATGGTTTTTAAGTCATATCAAATGAATTTTCTGTGTCAACTTGTGTTCATATTTTTTTCCTATAATCTGTGAAAGTGCTGAATTTCATTAATAGATGTTCTAATTTTAACCAAACATTCATTCCTGTAGTAAGCCAAGTTTTTTCTTTATGTTATCTTCTTTACAAACTGCTGAATTCAGCCGGGTACAGTGGCTTATGCCTGTATACCAGCTCTTTGGGAGGCAGAGGCGAGAGGATTGCCTGAGCCCACAGGTTTGAGACCAGCCTGAACAATATGGCAAGATCTTGTCTCTACAATAAAATAAAAAAATTAGCCGGCATGGTGGCACCTACCTGTAGTTCCGCTACCTGAAAGGTTGAAGCAGAATGATAGCCTGAGTCTAGCAGGTTGAGGCTGTGGAGGCCATGAGTATGCCACTGCACTCCAGCCTGGGCGATAGAGTGAGACTCTGGCTCAAAAATAAAAATAAGAATAAATTACTGAATTTACTCTGCTAATATATTGTTTGGGATATTTGCATCTGTATTTATGGACAAGATTTAGCTGTAACTTTCCCTTCTTTAAATGTTCTTGCCTGGTTTTGGTATTGCGATTATATTTCCTCATAAATTAACTGGAGAATGTTATTTATTTTTCTTTCCTTTTTTTTTTTTTTTTTACTTTCTAAAATAGTTTTTGGAAAGTTAAGATACATGTTTATTTGGTGGTTGGTAGAACCTGCAAAAAAAATCTGGACCAGGAGAGATGCTCACTGATGCGATTTCTGTCATGGTCATTAAACTATGCAGACTTGCTATTTATTCTTCAATTAGGTTTTTAAAAACCTTTTCTATTATTATTTTATTTCAAACATGGAGTACAATTCAGAATGGTCAGCGTGCAGGGGAAGTTTGGGCCTCCCATTGGTCCTCACTTCGCCTGGCTCAGGATCAGGGACCCTTATTGATGGCGTGTACCCCCACACCTGGCAGTGTCCTGCTACAGCAAATCCCTGTCTTGTAGCTTTATGATAAATGGTCAGGGTCCACTTATGAGTGAGAACATGTGGTACTCAGCTCTTTGTTTCTGTGATAGATCACTGAGTATGATAGACTCTAAATCCATCCAAGTTGTTGTGAAGTCCATAATTTTGTCTTTCCTTATGGCTGCGTAATATTCCATCATTTATATGTACCACATTTTTTTTATTCAGTCCACTTCTGATGGACAGCATGACTGGTTCCATGTTTTTGCTGTTGTGAATAGTGCCTGCACAGGTGTCTTTTTTGTAGAATGATTTGAGTTCCTTTGGGTATGTTCCCAGAAGGGGGATTGCTAGGTCATATGGAAGGTCTATTTTTAGATCTTTTAGGAATCACCACACTGTTTTCCACAGAGGTTGTACTAATTTGCATTCCCACCAACAGTGTAGAAGCATTCCCTTTTCTCCGCATCTTCTCCAGCATCCGTTGTTTTCATAATTTATTCTTTTGTTTTTTTAATTTTTATTTTAAAGATGTGGAGTACAATTCAGGATTAGGTATACAAGTGGTCATCATACTTTTCTAGGAATTTGACCATTTCACCTGTTTTCAATGTTGTGGGCACAAAGTCACTTTTATAATACTCTCTTGCCTTTTAAACCTTCATTACACATATCTAATATTTTTAATCTGTTATTTCTCTATATTTTTCTGAATCAATGGTGCCAAAGGTTTGCCAGTTTTATTAATACTTTAAAGAAATCAACTCTTGCTTTCTGATTTTTTTCTTTTATCCCATTTAATTTTTCTCTCATCTCTTTCATTTTCTCTCTTTAATTTCCTTGAATTATTCTGATTTTTTTTTAACTTCTTAAATTAGAAGTGTATCTTATGATTTTTAGTTGTTGTTTTTTTCTGGTTTTTGCCCTCTAAGCATTTAAGGCAAAATCTCTCCCTAAATACCAACACCCCAAAGTATCTAATAGTATTTTTATTATCTTTCATTTCTAATTTCCATTCTTTTCTTATTTGACCTGTGAATTACATAGAAATCTGAATTTTAATTTTAAACATTTGGCTATGTGTTACATCTCGGTTATACTTTATATTTTCAATATATAGTGATCAATAGCATAATCTATAGAATACCGAGGCTATAGAATTTGCCTTTGCCTGCTTTTGTATTTAATATGCAGTCAGTTTTTATAAAAGCTTCAAGTTTACATGACAAGAGGTATTTGTTTTACAACTTTTGACTACAGGTGTATTTTTAAAATTTTCCACATTCTTTTGGAGTTTTGAGAATTTGGTCAGTTAATTAATAAAAATATATATATTTTACAAACCTCACAATATTGTGGTGAATTTTTCAATTTCTCCTTATAACTTTATCATTTTTTGGTTTCATGCTAATTGAAGTTATATTATTAACCAAATACAATGTTAGAATTGTTATGTCTTCCAGATGAATCTTTTATTAGTATATGTTCCTCTTTATTTCTAGTGCTGCTTTTTGCATTCAAGTTTATTTTGTCTGATATCAGTGATGATATATTTGATATTGATATATCCACACAGATTTTATCTCGTATATTTTGTCTGATATTGATAAACTATAAACGCCTTTTCCTTTAAAATCATACCTGGTAAATTCTTTTCCATCTTGTAAGATGTGTATAACTGGATTTTTTTTTTTTAATCTAGTCTAACAATATTTGCCTCTTAGTTAAGAACCTAGTTTATATATTTGGATTAATTTCAACCTTCTAAGTTTGTCCTTCTATTCTCTCTAGTTTTTTTCCAGCTTATTTATTTTGTTTGAATTCCATTTTATTTCTATGAGAGTGACAATTATATGCTGCATCTTTTCACTCATTCCTCAGAAATTGTAATACATGTTTTAGGTTTAATGAGGAATAATTTATATACACAAAACTGAAAACATTTAATGTACACATCTTGAGAGGTTGGACATATGTATATGCCCATGACACCAGCCCTACAAGCAAGATACCCATGACCTTAAGAGAAAATCCTTGCCTTTATTCGTGTTGTTGTGGTTATTGTTGTTTTTAAGGACATTGAACATGAGATCTATTCTTGTATCATATCTTGAAGTGCACAATACCTTATTATCAACTATAAGTATTATATATTACATCTCTTCAATTTCTTCATCTTGCATAACAGAAATCGTATCCGTTGACAAACGATTCCACATTCGCCTCCCTCCAGCCACAGGAAACCGTGATTCTGTTCTCTACTTCTATGAATTTGACTATTTTAGATACCTCATATAAATGGAATAAGACAGTATTAGTCCATCAATGCTTGGCTTACTTCACTTAGCACGATAGCCTCTAGGTTTACACAGGATGTCACAAATAGCAGGCCCTCCTTATTTTTTAAAGCTGAATAACTATATACCACATCATATACCCCATTTTCTATATCATCAAACACTTATGTTCTTTATGTATCTTGGCTATTGTGAAAAATGTTGCAATAAACATGAGGGTGCAGATAATTCTTCAAGATCTTGATTTCAGTTATTTTGTTCTAGTTTTAATTTTTTTAGGACCCGCCGTACTATTTTTCATAATGGCTGCACCATTCTACATTCCCATCAATAGTATATGAGGGTTCCGTTTTACCCACACCCTTGCCAGTGATTGGTATCTTTTGCTTTGCTTTACTTTGTTTTGTGTATGCAGGGTGATAACTCGTTGTAATTTTGATCTGCATTTTCCTAATGGTTAATGATATTAAGCACCTTGTCATATGCCATTTGTATGTTTCCTTTGGAGAAATGTCTATTTTGGTGCTTTGCCCGTGAATTGATATGTTTCAAATGTGCATAATACAGAAAACAATCTACAGAGTCAATGCAATGCTATCAAAATTCCAATGGCACTTTTTACAGAATTAAAAAAGACAAGGAGAGTTATATCAGCAAAATGGCTAAATAGGATAGTGCAGCACTCATAAACAACAAGTTTGACAACTATCAATAGAGATGCCTCTCTGGAAACGTGAGATGTAGCGATTCAAGCATCTCGTTCAAGCAAAAGCTCCAAGAATAGACACACTGAAGAAAGTAAAACGTTTCTTTGCCTGTGCTATTCATCTCCCAAGAAAACACATCTCCATGCCAAGATTAACCCCCGTGGCCTACAATTTCTCCCACAGAGGAAAATAAGAGTGAAGTGAACATCCAGCCTTTTCAGTCTCACAGGACATTGCCCAAAGGCTCACTTCAACTTTGCCTCACCGAAGTTACTGAAAGGATCATCATGGGTGTATAGTCTGGGAGAACCTAAAAGCAAACAAACGGGGCTCATAGTAACCACCATGTAGAAAACCAGCCACAAATTCTACTAACTGACTCAGGGTCACCACCAAGAGAATCATCCATGAATCTCATGGGATTACTCACCTATAATCCACCCCCCACACCCAACAGCTGACCAGCACACACCTGCAGAAGTCTACACACACCACCAAGGTGCTGCACGTGAGCACTTTCAAATGGTATGCATGCATCCCAACAGAAGGCATGAGCATCCCTCCACAGACAGCAAGCACAGGCTTCCACAGAGGGTGTGAGCAAACCCCTGCCGACAGCACATGGATCTCAGCAACCAACTTGACTCTGTAAGATTAGGAGAAAGTATACATTGAACACTTTAGGGCGCTTCCCTTGGGAAAATAGACAGGAGGCTGTCAACATATTGCCTAACTTTGTGGGACTAAAAGAAGGAGCAAAATCCTAAGACTTTTCTCTCTCCCACAAGGAAGGAACAAGTTGAGTGGGGCGGGCACATCCATAAAAAAGTTTTGAGAGACCCCCAAAATCCCTAGCTGGGCTGACTCTTAAAGGTCTTCCTCTCCTAAATCTTGCCAGTAAAGACTGGAGGAAAGGACTATCCATATGCAAAAAATATTGGATTCCTAATTTTATATGTTCTCACCACAAAAAAAATGATAAGCATGTGAGATAATGCATATGTGAATTAGCTCAATTTAGTCATACTACAATATATGCATATTTCAAAACAACATCTTGTACATGAAAAATATATACAATTGGTATTCATCAATTTAAAAATTGAAATAAAAGAAACTGGATTCCTATCTTAAAGCATATATAGAAATCAACTCAGAATGGATTGGTCTTGGCAATGATTTCTTGGATCTGAGAAAAGCAAAGGCAGCAAAACCAAAATTAAAGTGTTATGCCTAATGCCGGGCTCGGTGGCTCAGCCTGTAATCCCATGCCTTTGGGAGGCTGAGGTGAGTGGATTGCCTGGGCCCGCGGGTTCGAGACCCGCCTGGGCAGCAAGACCTCACCTCTACAGTAAATCAAAAAATCAGCCGGGCGTGGTAGCGCGCGCCTGTAATTCTGGCTACTCGGAAGGCTGAGGCGAAAGGATCGCCAGAGCCCAGCAGGTAGAGGCTGCGGTGGCCGGGAGCGGCCACTGCACTCCAGTCTGGGCGACAGAATGAGACTCCAACTCAAAAAAAAAAAAAAAAAAAGAAAACCAAATAAAGTGTTATGCCTTTTTAAATTAATAAAATCTAAAGTCAATGCCTTTACTTTCTACTCAAATAACAAAGCACAATAGAATGCTTTAATTCATGTATCCACATTCCATATTTTGCATTATTTTAGTCTAAGACTTGAGTTCTATCCTGACGTTTTACCTCACAAATTAGACCTTTTCTTCTGTGATCACATCCAATGTTTGGGTAATTAGCATATTTGCCATTTCATTTTTCCTTCTTCCTGAAATAAGGATTTTAGAAATTCCTGTAGTGAAGCTCTTTGGTGGATTTCCCGATAGATTGAAAGAGAAGCATAAAAAATAAAAGGAGTCAAGGATAACATCAGAGTATTAAGCCTACTCAACTGGAAGTTAAAATGCCAAAGACTTCGATGCCACAGTTTGGAGTCAACCAGGAGTTCATCTGTTGAGTCTGAGATCTCTATTGCCTTCTAAATGAAGATGTTGAGTACCATGACTTATAGTCTCTAATTTTTAACTTATTTCTCCAAAAAGGATAAAGAGTTAAAGAAAACCATGAAGCAACCTGAGTATGCAATCCATCCATTTTGTTTTGTCAAAACTTTAGGTCTCACATTCATATTACTTGACAATAATTAATTTTTATTGTCAAACCTAAATCTTTCCATTTATTTTCTCAGGCATAACTCTCTTTGGACATTCATATGTTATAAGTGCATATAACATTTCATTTAAGAACATTTACACTAATCACTATAAATAGTACAAACGGATGTGGGAACAAATGTGACTGCCTCTTGGTAAGCAACAAATTGCTGATGTTACCATAAATGCACAAGAAGTTCAGAGAATAGTATTTAACATGTGGATACATCAAAAATACCTTAAACTCACAAAGCCAGAGAGTTTCATAGCAAGGTTAGAGTAATTTAGTTAATCTAGTGAGTCAATTAGCTGATGGTTAATTAAAAGAGTTTCTAGTGATTCTAAAATTGTTCACAAAGAAACTTCACCCTATTACTCAGACTAACAGTGGTGAATGGCTGTCTCTTTGGACTGCTGTCAATTCTTATTATCAGACTTGTTCATCATTCACTTGGACGGACAGATCTCATTTTCAAGTTTACATATCTTTAACTATAAATGAAGTGGAGCATTTTTAATTTTTTTGTGTGCTAACTGAATGTTTGTACTTTACTATTTTGTACAAAACACATCTAGCGGATATTCAGGTTTCATTTTATTTGTTACATGGGCAGTTTACAATCCGTTCACTTTAATAATAAGTCAGTTGTCATCTTTCTTTAGGAATTATTTAGAACTTGTTGCAAAACACATTCAAGATTGGATTACTAAAGAAGAGGCTATATATCAGGAATCTAAAATGAATGAAGAAATCACTAGGACCAAGGCTGAGATGGAATCAAAATCTTCTGCTTGTACCAAAATTACTTCTTCTAGCAAAATTATTGCCCTTAAAAAGTCTAAAAGTAAGTAAGCAGTTCAACTTATAACTAGAATAAAATCCAAGGACTTTCTCCTATTTCTTAATTTAATCATATTGTGAATATTTAAAGATAAAAAGGTTTACCCAAAAAATCCTATGATTCTTCATTTTCTGTAATAAATAGAACAGCTGCATTCTAAATATAATGAGATTGTACCCGACTGAGATAATGGAATATTTGTTTTATATTGACCCCTCTTCCTGTCAAATTTGTTTTGTAGCTCAAATGTTACATGTTAGAAAAATGCCAAATGTCTTTACTGGCAAGATTGCTAGGTTATGCTATCTAAGATTTGTTGATAATGTATAAGATAAACTCTAGTCACCGTGGCTCGTGCTTGTAATCACAACTCTTTGGGAGACTGAGACAAGAGAATCTCCTGAGGCTAGGAGTTCAAGACCAGACTAGGCAACATAGAGAGATACTATCTCTTCAAAAAATTTTAATTTAACTAAATTTAAAAATTTAAATAAAAATTAAAAAGAACAATTATAGATTCCAAGAGTGAGATTAAAACAAGACCTTTCTTAGAACAGAAAACAGAAAGGTCCTGAGAATAACTGGAAGTAGGAATCTAAGAATAAAGGGAAAAAAGATTTTTGCAGACCTGTGGCAGAGACGTGATGAGAGCTTGAATCAATACATGCCTTTGTTGTTACTGTTGTAATTTCTGTGGCTTTGAGGATGTTGGGGGAAGGGAGAAGATGGTGACAAAGATACTAAAGTAGATTTTTAGAAAGATACTGGATAAGCAAAAAAAGTGAAATAATAAGGTAATTCATCAAGAATGTAAGATTATTTTATTGGATTTGTGCAAAGGAAATGGACTCTTTGTTAATAATATTTATTATTTATGATAGCCAAAGTCGAGATGGATTTCTCATAAAGAAGCAAATCTAGGGTCCGTCGTTAGTAGTTGTTATTTTCAGATAGTTTCCAAAATTTTTGCAACCTCTACTAATTATCAGAGGAGTTTTTACATGGCATAATGCTAAAGTAAAACTTATAAAACCATGTTGATGATGGACCATTTACTGTATCCATCTACCATATCCTGATGGGGCACAAAAAGAGAGCACCAAGTACCTAAAAGAAAAAAATGGATAGAATTATACTAAAAAGGAGAGGTAAAACTGCCCTCTAACACTCATGTCATGGGTCATGCTTGCCTATTAATAGAAAAACTTGTGACTTTGCTGCAGTTTCTTTGTAATGCTACTGAACAGATCAAAAGCCTGTAGATATCAAGAAAATGGTCAGTTTAAGATTGGAATGCACCTGGTAGATATTGCATTCAATGTGAGGCCTCCTCAAGTCAGGAAATACATAAACCTTCAAAACAGAATGACAAGAGAAAGGGCTTCAGTGTGGATGGGAAAGTTAGATTTGTTCTGTAAGGTCTTAAGGTGTTAAACTAGGATTAATTAGGTGAAAGTTTTAAGAAGAGAAACCCCAGTTCAATAAAAGTTGCAACATGTCAACACACTGAAAATGGAATGCACCGTCTTCAGAGACTATTAATTCCCTATAACTAAAGCAGTTCATTCCCACTTCAGATATTCAGTCTGGAGATAGCAAGAAAAAAATATAAAGATGAATAAATGGGAAGTTGAACTTTATAACCTTTGAGAGGTCCTCTAACCCAGAGATTTGACCCTTCTATGATACCTCGTTTAAGAGTTACTAAGAAGTTTGATTTTCTCTGTTTTTAGGTAACAAGGGACTCAGCAAAACAGAGATTCCAGATCAAGAAAAAGAGAAGGAAAAAGAGAAGGAAAAGATTTCTTTCATTTTAGAAGGCTCTCTCAAGGTAATCCAAGGAAAGACAAATGATATCAATTAATCACAAATCCAAAATTATCTTGTGATAGAGAGTTTGTGTGGTGTAGCAGGAAATTATCTTTTTTTTTTTTCCTAAACCTTCAGAAACAATTGAATCTGCATGGAAGTAACGTCTTTCCACTACCTGTCTTCTTTCCAAGTAACGAGCCTTTAACGGAAGCTGTGTCTTATTTATTTTTACATAATCAGAATCGAGGACAGTGCCTTTTTCATACTTAATATGCTCTTTATTTATGTTGCAAGAGTTTGTTTTTGCTTGCATATTTTAATTGGAATTTTTACTTCAAAAGTAATATATGCTTTTGTAATAAATCAAAATTACCCTATCTTAAGCCCCTGAGGTAAATATTAAAGATTTGGTATGTCCTATGCTCTGACAAGCACATATGCACAGATATGCAGAGGGTTTTTATTTGTTTATGGATTGAGTTTGCTTGGTTTTTACTCTACTACATACTTTCTTTCTTCTGCCAACATTTGTGGACAGAATGTTTGTGTCCTCCCAAAATGTATATGTTGAAATATAAGTCCCAAGGTAATGTTATTTAGAGGTGGGGCCTTTGGAAAGTAATTAGATCACGAGGGACCTCCTGAACGGTATTAGGACCCTTATAAAAAGAGGCCTGATCACTAGCTCAGTCTTTTCCCACCACATGAACACACAACCAGAAATTCAGTCTGAAACCCAGAAGAGGGCTCTCACTCTGTCACCCAGGTTTGAGTACAGTAGCACGATCATGGCTTACTGCAGCCTCGACCTCCTGGACTCAGGCGATCCTTCTGCCTCAGCCTCCCAAACAACTGAGACTACAGGCACACACCACCAAGCCTGACTAAATTTTCTTTTTTTCTCTTTCTTTTTTTTTTTTCTTGTTTTTTTTTTTTTTAGAGACAAGGTTTTACTATGTTCCCCAGACTGATCTTGAACTCCTGGGCTCAAGCAATCCTCCTGATACGGCTTCCCAAAGTGTTGGGATTACCAGCATGAGCCACCATGCTGGCCAATTTCTGTTGTTTATAAGCCACCTAATCTATGGTATGGTACTTTGTTATAGCAGCACAAACTGACTGAGGTAACAGCAAAGCTTTGTGGCCAGCCATGTTGAAACCAGGTAGTAAGATGCCTCCAGCTTTTTAGGTTTTGCTCAAGATGATTGGCAATGAGGGGTCTTCTGTGGATCCATAAACATTTTAGAATTTTTTTTCTATTTTTGCAAAACATGACATTGAAATTTTAATAGAAATGGTATTGAATCTGTATATCACTGGGTGGTTTGGACATTTTAACAATATCAACTCTTCCAATCCATAAATATGGGATATCATTTGATTCATTTATGGCTTCTTCAATTTCTTTCATGAATGTTTTATAGTTTTCATTGTATAATCTTTCACTTCCTTGGTTAAATTTATTCCTAAGTATTTTCTCATCTTTGATGCTATTATAAATGAGATTGTTTTATTAATTTCTTTTTCAGACAGTTTTGTCATGTATAGTTCTACGGTTTTTAGGTGGAGACTTTAGGGTTTTCTGTATATAAGACCATGTTATCTGCAAACAGACAATTTAACATATTTATTTCCCATTTGAATGTGTTTTCTTCCTTTTGCCTAATTGCTCTTGCTAGTATTTCCAGTATTATGTTGAACAGAAGTGATGAGAGTAGGCATCCTTGTCCTGCTCCTGATCTTCAAGAAATGCTTTCAGCTTTCCGTCATTAAATGTGATGTTAACTGTGGACTTGTCATAGATGGCCTTTATTATGTTGAGATACATTTCTTCTATATCTAATTTTTGAGAGTTTTTATCATGAAAAGATATTGAATTTTGTCATATACTTTTTTTCCTCTATTGCAATGATTATATGCTTTTCATCCTTCATTTTATATTACGGTGTATCACATTTATAGATTCCTATATGTTGAACCATCCTTGCAGCTCAGGGATAAATCCCACTTAATCATGCTGAGTGATCTCTTAAATGTGCTGTTGAATTTAGTTTGCTAGTATTTTGTTGAAGGTTTTTGCATCTATAGTCACCAAGAATAGTAACCTGTCCTTTTCTTTTTTTTTCTTGTAATTGTCTGTCTTGCTTTGGTATCAGTGTAATGTTGACCTCATAGAATGAGTTTGGACATATTCTTTCCTCACTGGCTTTTTGGTAGGGTGAGAAGAATTTGTATTAGTTCTTTAAATATTTTGGAAAATTCACCATTGATGCCATCAGGTTGTGGAGCTTTCTAAAATGAGAGACATTTTATTACTGTTTTGATCCTTTAGTTGTTAGTAGTCTGTTCGGATTTTATATTTCTTAATTATTCTGTCTTAATAGGCTGCATGTTTCTAGGAATTTATCTATTTCTTCTAGGTTATCAAATGTGTTGATGTATAATTGTTCATAGTAGTTTCTGTGATTATTTATTTCTGTGGTATCATTTGTAATATATCTTCTTTTATTTCTGATTGTATTTATTACAGTCTTCTTTTTTTTTCCCTTAGGATAGCTATAGATTTGTTGATTATGTTTAGCTTTTCAAAAAACTAATTCTTCATTTTTATTTATTTTTTAAAACAAAAAATTGAATTCTTTGTTTTGTGGATTTTCTCTGGGTTGAGCCTGACACCTGGGTCCACTGAGGGAGTCTGGAACTTGGCTCTGCTGGGACAGGCCTGGATCCTGAGTCCACAGTGGCTGGCCTCTCACCAGGGTCTACCGGACTGAACTTTCCTTTAGCAGGCTTTGCGTGGTGGACCATAGCCTAGGCCCTTGAGGTCAGGCAGCCTGCATCTATGGCGTCCAGCCTGAAGCCCGGGTCCATGGGGGCTGATCTAGCCCTGGGGCAGGCCTTGAGCCCGAATTTGCAGGGGCTGGCCAGGCACTGTGATGGGCCTCCAGCCAATCCACAGGGATAGGCTTGGAGCCTGAGTCCATGGGGGAAGGCCTGGATTCTGGGTCCACTGAAACATGCCTAGACCCTGAGTCTACCGGAGCCTGGGACTTCAAAACCCAGCCAGGAGGATGGATCTGACCTCATGCTGACGCAGGAGGCTTGGTCCTTGGGGGCAGACCTGAGTCCTAGGGTCCCAGTGGCCAGCCTGGAACCTGGGTCTGCAGGGGTGGTGCTAGAGCTAGCTCCACAGGAACTAGCCCAGGGATGAGATCTCTTGAGATGGGCCCGACCTGTGAGTCGGCTGGCGCTGACCTGAGCCTTGTGTCTGCTAGAATGTGAGATCCCAGGGCCTGGCCTGAAACCTGATGCCACAGAGTCTGACCTGGCATTGAGTGGGTCTCAAGTCTGTGTCCGCAGGGGCTAGACTAAAGGCTGGACCCAGGGCACTACAGCAGGCCTGAAGGATAGGGCTGCAGGTGCCATCCTGGAGTATGGGGCTGAAGAAGCTTGCCAGGTATTGGGGCAAACCGGGTCCTGGGCAGGGGCCAGTCCAGAGCTGGAGACTGTGGTTGCTGGCCTGGCACTGGGAAGATCCTGCAGGCTGGGTTCTACCTGGGAAGACCTGAAGCCTCAGTCACAGGGGCCAGCCCAGGTGTGGACCTGGGGTCACTGGCATAGGGCTGGCAACGAAGTGGTTCTGGAGTCTGAGTCTGTAGGGGCTGGCTTGGCGTTGGGGAAGGCCAGAGGTTGCAGGGTGTGACGGAAAGTTCCAAACCTCTGTTCCAGTCTTGTTCTTTCTGCTGACCAGCCTGAGCCCTGCCCTGAAGCTATCTCAGAGCTTGCCAAGAGTTGCCTCATTAGAACAAAAGATACTCCTATCACTTGTAAAATTCTAAGGCGTTTAGGGGTTCTGTGCCATGAGCCGGAAATAAAAGCTATTTCTTATTATATCACAATATCTCAGGTACTTTTAAACTAGATTTCTACTCATCTGAAAAATAACTTTATTTTATGTTACTCTTATTAAACACAGTTTTAATTTATAAAATTTTTGGTTGACTTTCACTCTCAAGATGTTGTTCCACATTTTCCTTGCCGACGTTGTGGCCATTAATAAGTTGATTGTTCATTTAATTTATCTTTCTTTTTTAAATAGCTTATCTTTTTTCTTTAGCTTCTTTGAAAACATTCAGTAGTTTGCTGGTGTTTAGCAGTACCTCTCTGGGAGAACAAAAGCATGGCTATGTGTACATACACAAATGTACTGTAAATGTTTCTGCTCTATAGTGTGTTTAGCATATGATTTATATACAATAATAATGCATGTAATATCCTTTATTGTAAATTCCATATAGTTCTTTGATTTCGGCAAAATGCTCTCATTGATTTTTGCCAAGTTCTTGTGTCTTTAACCAATCTATGGTTACAATTGACAAGCATAGTTCCCATATAAATTTTGACTGATATTTTCATATTTGTTAGCAAGTAAGAAAAAAGTGAAACAACAAAGGGGTATGTCTAACTCATTTGTCAATGACATGGGCAACATTTTTGCTGAATCAGATAATAGTTTTTGAATACTAGAATAATGTTTTCTCAGTTTTTTGTGCTAGTTACATTGTAACACCTACAGACACAAAAAACTTCCAAGTTTAATCTGCATTATTAACATTCTCTCCATCACTTTCTTGAATCTAGATAATAAATAATCAGTCCATCCTGATTTTAGTATTTGCTGATATCTGTAGCGAAAAATACTTACACAGTGGCTGATTTCAAGCTACCAATGTGACATCACTCAGTGCCAACTTGGAAGCAATATGCAGTAGCACACCATTATATAGTGTTTTCATGATACCAGATACAATTGACATAAATAACCTCATGAACATAGATAATACTAAAATGTAACAAAATAATTATAACGTGGTAAGTTTGGGGACTTTATTGCTTTTGTTTTTAATATTTTGTTTAATTGTGACTTTATATAATTTATTCTTATATTTACTGTGATTAACAGCTAACTCACAAAATTCCTAAAAATGTAATGATAAACATATTTGTCCCTCTATGAGC